ATTCATAACCTAAAATATTTTAACAAATGTGTACAATCTTTTACTGGTAATAATTTACCTATTCTGGGCATGTACGAATTACCATTTATTTATAAAAGTAAACATTACATTTTACCATTTGTGGTAGCAGATTTAAACTGTCAAAATGTTCTGGGATTGGAAGGCTGTGTCATGTTAGGACTCGTATCCCGTGTTGACGGTATAAATATACATAAATATTCTGATCTCTTCGAAGGACTGGGTAAGTTACCTGGACAGTATTCTATTGTCGTAGATAAAAATGTACAGCCAGTGATTTGCCCTACTAGGAAAATACCACTGGGGATGAAAGATAAACTCTTAGCAGAGTTACGTAGGATGGAAAAATTAGGCGTTATTAGGAAAGTTACTCATCCTACGGAATGGGTTAACGCTATTGTGCTAGTAGCAAAAAAGAATGGTGATATTCGTGTGTGTTTGGACCCGAGACCGCTTAACCGCGCGGTGCGGCGCGCGCATTACTCGCTGCCCACGGTGAGCGAGCTGGCAGCGCGGCTGCGCGGTGCTACGTATTTCAGCGTGCTGGATGCGCGCTCTGGTTTTTGGATGGTTCAAATTGATCCTGCCAGCGCAGATCTTTGTACATTTGGAACACCGTTTGGTCGTTACCAGTTTCTAAGGCTACCGTATGGAGTAAATTGTGCTCCAGAAGTATTTCATGCAAAGTTAAGACAATATCTGGAAGATTTGGAGGGTGTTGACTCTTTTATTGATGATGTAATAGTATGGGGGAATACTAAAGAACAACATGACTTCAGGCTAAAATGTTTACTGAATAGGGCTAGAGAAATTGGTATAAAATTTAATAAGGAGAAATGTAAGTTTGGAGTTCGAGAAATTGTTTATTTGGGTCATAAATTCGATAAGAATGGGATAAAACCAGACGAGTCTAAAGTTAAAGCTATTATGGGTATGCCGTATCCTACAGATCGTAAAGCATTGGAGAGATTTATGGGTATGGTGAATTATCTTTCCAAATTTATTCAAAACTATTCGGATAGTGTGTCCGTGCTTCGAAGTTTATTAAAAAAGAATTCTGAATGGCTGTGGGAGCCACATCATTCAGATGCTATAGACAGTCTTAAAAATAAAATTTCATCTGCACCAGTGTTAGCACTTTACTCGACGGAGCTACCGGTGGTGGTGTCGGTAGACGCGAGTGCTAGAGCGCTGGGAGCGGTGCTGCTGCAGGCCGGCCGTCCAGTGGAGTTTGCTTCGTTAACGCTCACCGACACTCAGACCCGGTACGCACAAATTGAAAAAGAGATGCTGGCAATAGTGTTTGCGGCAGAAAGGTTTAAACAGTACATTTATGGCAGGTCAGATGTTACCGTACAAACTGATCACAAGCCCTTGGAGGCATTGTTCAATAAAGCGTTGTCATCTGTACCGATACGACTACAACGCATGATGATGAGGATACAGGGATACGATTTCAAGGTGGTGTATACTCCGGGCAAATATATGTATATTGCCGATACGTTATCGAGGGCTCCTCTGCCGGAGTTTATGCACGATCGAGTGTCTGAGGATGTTGAGACGCAAACATGTTTTATGATAGAATGTATGCCGTTTAGTAGAGATAAAATAGATAGAGTTCGAAAGGCGACAGAGGTTGATGAGGAATGTCAGTTATTAATTAAGTACATATTAAACGGCTGGCCAAAAAATGAGCATAATGTTCATAAAAACGTTAGAAAGTTTTGGTCATATTGTGGAGAACTCCAATATGTGAATGGGTTAATATTAAAAAATTATTGTATATTTATTCCGCAAAGTTTACGAGCCGAAATGATTGTAAAAGTACACGAAGGTCACCTAGGCATAGAGAGGTGTAAGAGGCGCGCGCGTGATGTAATGTTCTGGCCAGGGCTGTCAGCGGACGTGGAGCGCGCCGTGCGCCGCTGCGAGTCGTGTGCTCTGCATGCACGGGCTCCCGCGCGGGAACCACTACTTCAACATATCGTACCCAATGCACCTTGGCAAAAACTTGCCTCAGATATTTTTGAGTATAAAAAGAAATACTATGTCATATTAGTAGACTATTTTTCTAATTATGTTGAAGTTCAAGAAGTAAATAGTATAAACAGTAGAACAATTATTCACTTTATGAAGGAACAATTTTCGAGGCATGGCATCCCTAGCGAGCTTGTTACTGATAATGGGCCGGCGTATAGTTCACAAGAATTTAAAAAATTTCTTAGGTTATGGGAGGTTAAGCATATGACTTCATCACCTCATTACCCCCAGTCAAATGGGAAAAGTGAGCGCACAGTGCAAACTATAAAAAATCTACTCAAAAAATGCATCGATTCTGGGGATGATTTCTTTATAAGTTTATTGAACTATAGGAGTACGCCTAGGTATGGAATGGATTCTCCGGCACAAATTCTGATGGGAAGACGTTTGTGTACGAAGCTACCGATTAGTGATTTTCTATTAAATGAAACGATTGATAGAAATAGAAATTATAAAATGTTAATGCAACAAAGAAAATATAATAAATTACAGTATGATAAGTCGGCCAAGCCGTTGCGGACTTTATTACCAGGAAATAAAGCAATTTTAGTTGATAATGGAAATAGGAAACCCGTTTCTATTATTAGACCGTCGCAGGAACCACGTTCGTTCATAGTACAGGATTCGCGCGGACGCCGATTGAGGCGCAATCGCCGTCACTTGATAGTACGATATGCAGACAGCGATGAAACGCGTCCCGCCGCCTGCGCTCCGAGTGCAAGTAACGCTAAGTCAGCTGAGTTAACGGCCAAGGCTGTAGCTTCAAACCCAGAACAGTTTGACCCTTTGTATTCGACAGATAGTAAAACGGATACGGAAGGTCATAGCCCATGCATTAATCCTCCAATAACTAGGTCAAAAACACGACTTATGGCTAAGATGAAATATGCGATGAAAGAAAAAATATAATAGTAATTGGTTTTGTATAAAAGTTATTTACAAACTAATATACATATTCATATTAAGTGTATATTTTTAAGGCTCTGTATTCTGTAGATGTTGACTTATTTTCGTTTATTTTTAGGTTTACTATTGTTTTGTAATTTCATTTAATAATTATAAAACTAAATCATAAAACATAGAAGTGATTTATATTATGACATATTATATAGAAATATGTTCATATTACGCCTGGGTGGCTTCGTTATTATGATATTTATATTAATTTTGTATGAGTTTGTATTTGGTATACGGTTCATTTCTACAGTTAGCGTTATCTTTCAGTTGTTTTCATTATATAGTTTTTTTTTTTTTTGTTATAAATCTTTTGTACTTCAGTGTTCATTATAAAAGGGGAAGGATGTAGTATATTGTGGGTAGACGGATATTTTGTGTGGATACTGTACCTTCATAAAAATAATAAAATCAGTGTTGAACCAGCTAGCGTTTATTTTATTACAATTTTATATTTTATTACTAGGAAAATACCACTGGGGATGAAAGACAAACTCTTAGCAGAGTTACGTAGGATGGAAAAATTAGGCGTTATCAGGAAAGTTACTCATCCTACGGAATGGGTTAACGCTATTGTGCTAGTAGCAAAAAAGAATGGTGATATTCGTGTGTGTTTGGACCCGAGACCGCTTAACCGCGCGGTGCGGCGCGCGCATTACTCGCTGCCCACGGTGAGCGAGCTGGCAGCGCGGCTGCGCGGTGCTACGTATTTCAGCGTGCTGGATGCGCGCTCTGGTTTTTGGATGGTTCAAATTGATCCTGCCAGCGCAGATCTTTGTACATTTGGAACACCGTTTGGTCGTTACCAGTTTCTAAGGCTACCGTATGGAGTAAATTGTGCTCCAGAAGTATTTCATGCAAAGTTAAGACAATATCTGGAAGATTTGGAGGGTGTTGACTCTTTTATTGATGATGTAATAGTATGGGGGAATACTAAAGAACAACATGACTTCAGGCTAAAATGTTTACTGAATAGGGCTAGAGAAATTGGTATAAAATTTAATAAGGAGAAATGTAAGTTTGGAGTTCGAGAAATTGTTTATTTGGGTCATAAATTCGATAAGAATGGGATAAAACCAGACGAGTCTAAAGTTAAAGCTATTATGGGTATGCCGTATCCTACAGATCGTAAAGCATTGGAGAGATTTATGGGTATGGTGAATTATCTTTCCAAATTTATTCAAAACTATTCGGATAGTGTGTCCGTGCTTCGAAGTTTATTAAAAAAGAATTCTGAATGGCTGTGGGAGCCACATCATTCAGATGCTATAGACAGTCTTAAAAATAAAATTTCATCTGCACCAGTGTTAGCACTTTACTCGACGGAGCTACCGGTGGTGGTGTCGGTAGACGCGAGTGCTAGAGCGCTGGGAGCGGTGCTGCTGCAGGCCGGCCGTCCAGTGGAGTTTGCTTCGTTAACGCTCACCGACACTCAGACCCGGTACGCACAAATTGAAAAAGAGATGCTGGCAATAGTGTTTGCGGCAGAAAGGTTTAAACAGTACATTTATGGCAGGTCAGATGTTTCCGTACAAACTGATCACAAGCCCTTGGAGGCATTGTTCAATAAAGCGTTGTCATCTGTACCGATACGACTACAACGCATGATGATGAGGATACAGGGATACGATTTCAAGGTGGTGTATACTCCGGGCAAATATATGTATATTGCCGATACGTTATCGAGGGCTCCTCTGCCGGAGTTTATGCACGATCGAGTGTCTGAGGATGTTGAGACGCAAACATGTTTTATGATAGAATGTATGCCGTTTAGTAGAGAAAAAATAGAAAGAGTTCGAAAGGCGACAGAGGTTGATGAGGAATGTCAGTTATTAATTAAGTACATATTAAACGGCTGGCCAAAAAATGAGCATAATGTTCATAAAAACGTTAGAAAGTTTTGGTCATATTGTGGAGAACTCCAATATGTGAATGGGTTAATATTAAAAAATTATTGTATATTTATTCCGCAAAGTTTACGAGCCGAAATGATTGTAAAAGTACACGAAGGTCACCTAGGCATAGAGAGGTGTAAGAGGCGCGCGCGTGATGTAATGTTCTGGCCAGGGCTGTCAGCGGACGTGGAGCGCGCCGTGCGCCGCTGCGAGTCGTGTGCTCTGCATGCACGGGCTCCCGCGCGGGAACCACTACTTCAACATATCGTACCCAATGCACCTTGGCAAAAACTTGCCTCAGATATTTTTGAGTATAAAAAGAAATACTATGTCATATTAGTAGACTATTTTTCTAATTATGTTGAAGTTCAAGAAGTAAATAGTATAAACAGTAGAACAATTATTCACTTTATGAAGGAACAATTTTCGAGGCATGGCATCCCTAGCGAGCTTGTTACTGATAATGGGCCGGCGTATAGTTCACAAGAATTTAAAAAATTTCTTAGGTTATGGGAGGTTAAGCATATGACTTCATCACCTCATTACCCCCAGTCAAATGGGAAAAGTGAGCGCACAGTGCAAACTATAAAAAATCTACTCAAAAAATGCATCGATTCTGGGGATGATTTCTTTATAAGTTTATTGAACTATAGGAGTACGCCTAGGTATGGAATGGATTCTCCGGCACAAATTCTGATGGGAAGACGTTTGTGTACGAAGCTACCGATTAGTGATTTTCTATTAAAGGAAACGATTGATAGAAATAGAAATTATAATATGTTAATGCAACAAAGAAAATATAATAAATTACAGTATGATAAGTCGGCCAAGCCGTTGCGGACTTTATTACCAGGAAATAAAGCAATTTTAGTTGATAACGGAAATAGGAAACCCGTTTCTATTATTAGACCGTCGCAGGAACCACGTTCGTTCATAGTACAGGATTCGCGCGGACGCCGATTGAGGCGCAATCGCCGTCACTTGATAGTACGATATGCAGACAGCGATGAAACGCGTCCCGCCGCCTGCGCTCCGAGTGCAAGTAACGCTAAGTCAGCTGAGTTAACGGCCAAGGCTGTAGCTTCAAACCCAGAACAGTTTGACCCTTTGTATTCGACAGATAGTAAAACGGATACGGAAGGTCATAGCCCATGCATTAATCCTCCAATAACTAGGTCAAAAACACGACTTATGGCTAAGATGAAATATGCGATGAAAGAAAAAATATAATAGTTGTTTTGTATAAAAGTTATTTGCAAACTAATATACATATTCATATTAAGTGTATATTTTTAAGGCTCTGTATTCTGTAGATGTTGACTTATTTTCGTTTATTTTTAGGTTTACTATTGTTTTGTAATTTCATTTAATAATTATAAAACTAAATCATAAAACATAGAAGTGATTTATATTATGACATATTATATAGAAATATGTTCATATTACGCCTGGGTGGCTTCGTTATTATGATATTTATATTAATTTTGTATGAGTTTGTATTTGGTATACGGTTCATTTCTACAGTTAGCGTTATCTTTCAGTTGTTTTCATTATATAGTTTTTTTTTTGTTATAAATCTTTTGTACTTCAGTGTTCATTATAAAAGGGGAAGGATGTAGTATATTGTGGGTAGACGGATATTTTGTGTGGATATTGTACCTTCATAAAAATAATAAAATCAGTGTTGAACCAGCTAGCGTTTATTTTATTACATGTCCAGAGATGGGAACAGTATTCCATGTGAGGCCGAACCTGCGCCTTGTAAAGTTGCAGGCGGTGTGCCGGCATGAAATACTGTCCCGCTCTGCTGAGCACGCCAAGCTTTTTAGAGGCCAATTTAGCCTTCTCTTCCAAGTGACCACGAAACTGCACGTCACTCGATATGTCGACTCCGAGGATTCCGATACTGGCTGAGGCAAGAAGGGGAGTGCCTGGAAATTGAGGAGATACGACAAAGGGGTTCTTTTTAGCGGTAATATTGCAATCTTGTATTTTTTGAGGATTAAACTGGACTAGATTTAGTCGCCCCCAATCGGAGACTTTGTTCAGCAAAGACTCGACTTCAGACACAAGTCTGTTCCGGTACTTGGCGACGTTTTCCCGAGAAATATTGGCACGGCCGGTGTATAGAGCATCACCAGTGCTGTCATCTGAATATCATTGAATGTTACCAGTTAGCAACATATCATTGATATGCAGAAGAAACTGCGTTGGTGATAGCACACAGCCTTGTGGAACACCAGTGTTAATAGGCTTGTAGTCGGAGCATGCACCGTCTACAACGACCTTGATGCTCCGATCTGCAAGGAAGCTGGTGATCCAATTGCACAATTTCTCGGGAAGCCCATAGGAAAGGAGCTTCGAAAGAAGCGCTTTGTACCAAAACCCGATCGAAGGCCTTCGCAATGTCCAAACTAACGGCCAACGCCTCACCCTTGGACTCTACTGCCTCTGCCCATCTATGGGTCAGGTAGACCAGATGATCACCAGCTGATCGACCCCGACGAAAACCGTATTGGCGGTCACTAATCAGCTGGTGATCCTCAAGGTACCGCATGAGCTGGCAGTTAATAATTAATTCCATTATTTTGGAGAACAAGGAGGTGATCGCGATAGGCCTATAGTTGGACGGGTCTGAGCGGTCGCTTTTTTTAGGGATCGGGTGGACAAAAGCTGTCTACCATGAATTCGGGACTACGCCTTGGGAGTAGGAGTACCGGAAAAGACGCGTTAGGACCGGTGCCAACTCCGGAGCACACGTCCTCAGCACAATTGAGGGGATTCCGTAAGGCCCACTCGACTTCTGGATATCCAGAGAGAGGAGTGCTTTGCGAACAGAGCGCTGTGAGAACAGCACATCCGGCATGGAGCACTCACACCGCGGGATAGTCGGCGGTGTTTTCCCCCGGCATCAAGAGTCGAGTTGGACACAAAAAGGGAGCCTAAAAGGTCGGCTTTGTCATTTGCGTCTTGGGCCAGTGAGTCATCCTCCCTGTGCAGAGATGGTAGTGATGGCTTACAGAAATTCCCTTGGACAGCCTTGGCGAGAGACCACAATGCACGGGTTCCGGAAGGAAGGCGAACTAGTTTCTCGCCAATTCTGCCCATGTGCTCTGACTTTGCCTTGGCAATAACTCTTTTGAAGGACCTGGCGGCGAAGGTATACTTCTTTTTAAGTGTGCTTGTGTTTACATCCCGAGTCGCCGAAGCCGCAGCCCAGGCTTGATAACACTCCAGCTTACTGCGTAATGCAGTCTTACAGGAGCGACCAAACCTGTAGCACCACATCAGTGACAGAGTCAGCAACAGCGCTGGGATCATTCGGCGAGAAGCAAACCGCCCCCATGGGTAGGATGCAAAGAAAGACCGCATTCCGTCCCAATCCGCCGACCTGTAATGCCAAAAACTGCATAACGCAACCGCGAGGGGAGCGTGAGTGGCACTACACTCAGGATCAGACAATGGTCCGAAGAGTCGAGAGGGGTATCAACTGAAACCTGATATCCGTCCGGATGAGAGGTCAGCAGAAGGTCCAACAGGGAAGGTGTATGATCCTCCACATCTGGAATCCGCGTAGGCGAAGTAACCAGTTGTGTCAGACCATATGCCAAAGCAAAGTCATAAACAGATCTCCCCGCATGATCGGTTAAACGTGACTCAGTTCAGTCCATTCGGCGTGGTGGGCGTTAAAATTGCCAAGGATCACGATCTCTGCGGATGGGACCTGTTGTAGCAAGGAATCTGTAGCATTTGGACGTGGTCAATGAGTCGGTCTGTTTCGGCATTATCGCTATGGGACCTATAGAGGCACCCGTCCAAACCTTCAAGACTGCTGAGGCGTCGAGAACAGATGTCCTCTATGACATACACGCAAACTCCAGCCCGAAGCACAAAGGAGTGCTCCAATTTGTACCCTGGGTTGGAGAGATACGAAATATCAGCCGGAGAGGAAACTTGCGTCTCGGTTAGAAAGAACAAGGCCGGCTTCGCCGTCTCGAGATGGTAGTGGACGGCGTTTAGGTTCGAGTGAAGTCCCCTGATGTTGCAGAAATTCACGGATAGCGTGGCAGGGGTCGCAATTTTGCCCCCCCCCCCCCCCCCCAGAATACGCAGGGCAGCCTGAGCACCCACGCTCAGGAGTGGAATAACATGGTCGCGTATGCTCAGCGAGGGATTCTTCAGGGGTGCTGGTACCCTCCTGGGTTAATCTAATGTGTAATTGCGCTACCATGTTGATGGGGAGGGGGGGAATTGGGCCTCCGGCCACCTGCACTCACCAGACGAAATGCAGAAGTAGAGCTTCTACTTCACGCCGGTATTCTGTGAGGTCGTGGTACCAACCCGGCTCGAGCCGGCCCATACGTGCAACAGCAAAAACTGCTGCGTGGCTTTACCACCGTATAGGGTAGAGTCATGCTGCAGCTATATTGGTAGCATAGTTGTAGCAGGAATGGGTCGGCTCGACCGGGGAAGGACCACGCTCTCACAGAATACCAGCGTAAAATAGCAGCCTAATGCTGCTGTGTTTCAAATGGGGTGTGTTGAGAACCGGAGACTCTTTTTACTGGAAAAGAGGCATTCTATCTTAGTCCTCACGCCTGACAACGCATCTGCATTTTAATTCGCAATAAAAGACTGAGGTACTTGACGTCCTGATGTCACAGCTAGTCCGGCTACCTTAAGTTTTTGAATATAAATTTTTAGTCCGATCTACGCAGAATGAGCTTTTAGTATCTTGAAGTCGCAGTGGTATGCTTGGGTTTGGATTTAATTTTAAGATAGATGGCAGCACCTATCCATCTTCTCTATTGAAATTAGGATGTGTCTTAATTTCAATAGCCTCGCGAATCATCCTAGCTAGGAATCGATGTTCTTTTGCGAGAATTTGTGTTCTATCAAATCTAATGTAATGGTGTTCACAACTGCAGACTTCCCGGAACGTAGGTACTTCAAATTAGCTATATGTTACTTGAAGCACCGACGTTCCGGGAAGTCGTACGCGATAAAATCCGTAAAAATTACTTTCATTTAATGTGTAGTCTTCGTGTAAATATAAGAAACCATTATGTGAGGACTAGGTTAAAATTGGAATGCCTTACATCCATTAATTATACTGGCTCTCTGTACCCCAAGAGCGGAACATAACAGTGTACGTACTGCTATTTGGTGACAGAAATAGGTGAAGTGGGAAGAGGACCTATCCAGATGGATTCCTAGGCACAAACGGAGTTTAACACCAAATAGAACCTAGCTAGATAACGCAGTAACAAAGTATTAGACTGCGTTGCTGCGGGGCCGCGGATTTGAAGAAAAGGAAAAAAAGAAAATGAGAAATAAATAAATAAAAAAAATATTTTTTACAACAAACACCAACACACATGTTACACAAGTGGTAAATTTAAAATTTTGTACAAACGACTTCAATATGAATATAATTTACTGTTGATTTTTTTAAAAACCCTCGACCGATTTCGATAAAATTTAAATGGAACCACCTGGGAAGTATAACCCTTTAAAACAAAAAAGATTTTTTCAAATCGGTTCAGGAATTTATGACTAATCGGTGAACACACATAAAAAAAAGATTCCGACGAATTGAGAACCTCTTACTTTTTTGAAGTCGTTTAAAAAGATATTACAGACTAAACAACTTATTACTACAGAACTAAAAAAGAAAACTAAATCGTAAATAAAATGGAAGCAATTCAATAATAAGCTTCATTATGTTTGCGGGTTCGATATAAAATAATTACACTCAGCATAATTTCGTGGTATTTACGAAACTGGTTTTCAGTGCGCCCTCTAGTGAGTAACGCTTTGAATCCCGCACCAAACTAATATTTCTATTGGCAACAATTTGATTCCCTCTGTCGCCTCTTAAGACACCCACGGGATGACATTGACTAGTGGATATTCTTACACCCCCACTACATGGTTATCAAAAAGACATCAGTAAAGACGTAAGAAAGAAGAAGTAACTTACACTTCTGGGCACAGACTTCCTCTTATTACTGGGACGGTTTTAGGTCTAGGAATTGTCCATCGAGCTGCCCCAATACGTGTTGGCGGATTTCACATGTCTTAGAATTTTTTTTATATCTCCTACATGTAGTTTTTATGTGCACACGTTGTTTATCAGCACTTAAAATTTCAATTAACAATTTCATTGGTCCCGACGGGGATCGAACATGCTTGCTCATGTACTGAATTTGAAAAATTTTTTGTAGAAT